ATAAAAAAAATGTAAATACCCATATATATAAGTTTTAAAAAATAAAGTAAAAGATGTTGCTCTAATTATATAATATAAATAATCCAAAGGCTTTAATGTTAATAAATAGGATACAATTAAATTATCAAAACTTTATCTCTTTCTAAGTGGTTTCTTATTTTCTATGGAACCTTTAAATAGTTATATTTTTAAAACAAGAAACAAAGAGGATATCAGAGAATGATCATCTCACAAAATGGGTCTTTTACTTATTTTGTTGTTTTATTTTTTTTAGTTTTCAATTTTTTTATTTTCTTTTGCTTAAGAGTCTCCTATAATGATTGAAATATTATTTCATGTCAAACAATGACCATTTAAAATTATTATTATCCAAAGGCATCACAAATATCCTTCAAGCCCAACAATCACAAGTTCCGTCTTGGTTCAAGAAAAAAGTAAGAATATTATATATAATAGTTTGTTATTGTTCTATTACAAGTATTTTCCGCACTAACATTTGTAATAAATGACAGATTGAAACAACACGTAGATCATCACCAAGTGTGAGTCTATGTGTGCTCTGCCATGTATGCCGGATTATCGAATTGATCAATATGGCAGATGTATAGTAAACGAAGTTCGATATATCATACAGAAAGTCGAGATGCTGGATGATCAACTCAAAATTACGGTGTTTGGGTAGAAGGTGAACATAATGGCAACACATGTCATTTTTATGGTATTATAACTCATATTTGGAAGCTCACCTATTTATTAAACCATGAAATGGTACTATTTAAATGCACATGGTATAAGACGGATGGAAGGAATAATATATATCAAGAATTTCATATCACCAGCGTAAATGTAAGCTTGAAGTGGTATCAAGATCAACCGTTTATCCTTGCAAATCAAGTAAACCAAGTATTTTATTTGCATGATGACAAGCTCGGCTCAGATTGGAAAGTTGTGAAAAAGGTACATCATCGTCACCTTTAGGATATTCCAAAAGTTACGCCTGAAAATGCACACGAAAGCAAGGAGGATGCCGATTTTTCTAGTGAAGCTTACCAAGAGGAAAGATCAAATGAGATTAATGTAACATTTGATGAGTCAAATATTGAGGCTCCTTTAAATTGTGAAGATGTTAGGATGACGGAGATTGACTCTTTAGTTGTCGAACTCCCAATAGATCTTGATAATGATCAGATTCAACATGAATTGGATACAAATGAGGATAGTTACCAAGAATTAGATTCCGCTAATAGTGTAGAATCAAATGATATCGTTAAAGATATATCTGATGATGATGATGATGAGAGTGATTAACTTATAAAACCCGGTAATTCTTGCAACTTTTATATCCTTTTCCTATATATTTTAATTAAAGGCTTTATTATAATACCATAGATTTATGGCATTGTCTCCAATCCGGTATTAAATTAAAACGTCACATATGTATATTTTTTTTTAAAACATGTATAATGTGGAGAGACCATAAATTTATTGTTCCGAATAAAAATTATAAAGTTAAAACGATTTATAACAGAACACTTGAGACATGGTACGTATTTGAACCAAATTTGATGAAAAGTACGCATGAGCTAGGAAAAATCAAGAACTAAAAAGAAAAAAAAAAGAAAAAAGACCCATTATGCTCTAAGACTAATTTATATATATATATATATATATTTTTTTTTTACTTATAACACACAGACCTCATCCCCTCTGTCTCTCCCTCTTTTCCCCCTCTTTCTCTCTCGAGAATTTTAATATGATGCACTCACTACCCTTGCAAGCCATGCGTACTCTCACCTTTCGACATCTCTGATTCTTCCCCATCTCCTTTCCCGTTTTTCCCAAATCCAAATTCCTCAAGTTTCCCACAAAATCCCCTTCTCTGATCATCTGAAATTGCTCCACGAAGACGCTTTCGGAGTTCCGGAAGAATCGCGACGTCTCGGAGCCCAATGAGAAGCTCTGCGCCATACGTGAGCTCTTTTCCAAGCCCGGCGTCGGCATCGATGCCTATATTATTCCCTCTCAGGACGCTCACCAGCTTCAATTTAGTTCCTTTTTTCCCATTTTTTTTTCTTTTTCCTGATTGAATTTGGACTTTTGGTGTTCCTGTGAATTCTTTTAAATTAGAATCTAATATGTTTTTTTTTTCCTCTATTGTTGGAGGAAAAATAAATACCATAAAAAATAAAAAATGATTTAACTGTCGTTGGACTAAATAAAAATGAAAGTTAAGTTTAAAAAGAAAAACAAAAAATGAAAAAGAAATTGGCGCCGTAAAATGAAATATAGTCTAAAAAGAAAAATAAAGAACCCGCGCAGTTTCCACAATTCACGTTCACGTTTGAGTTAGTGCACTATAAAAGTATAATAATAATATAGTCTAAAAAGAAAAATGATTTAACTCTCAACTCTTGATAATATAAAAGTATTCATTAAAAGAAAATTGAATACTCCAAGAAACTCCAAAACAGAGAGTGAAACCAAGATCAAAACAAGGAGGAACACCAGCGTTTCAAGATCAAAACAGAGAGTGCAGTTGTATGTTTTATTTTTTAATAATATTTTGACGTTTGCTATATATATTTAAGTATTTAATTTGCAAACCTATTTGTTTAAAATTGCAGAACCAAATGGTAGAGCTAAGGCAGCAAAGGGTGGACAATAATGAAGTTGTAATGAGACCGATAACTCGTAAGCGGTCATCTTAACATTCTACTCAACTTGAGGCACAATTTTGACAACGTGTTGGAAACATGGCTGATCAAATGCGAATGGGTTTTCAAAGAGAGCGAGAGGAGATCAATATAACAATTCGACAACAATTAGGAAATGAACATCTCGAGGAAGTGCGAAGAGAGATGATAGCTCTCATGAATGGGCCAGATGAACATCCTTTCTCAAGTTTTCAATCGTCACAACAACCGCCGCCGCCGCCGTCCCTCATTAGCTGTTTGATATTTCTTTATAAGTTTGTTTATCTTTAGAGATATGTTCAACTATTTAGCTTGATGTTTATGTGTTTAGGTTTATGTTTTTAAATCTATATACTCTAATTGGTTTGATGTTTACTTCTAAAAACTTGAACTATCTATCATATAGCAGTTTTTAGATGTGTGATTTAACAATTATTTAGATATGTTATTCTCTTATCTAATTACATATTATGCTAATTCTTTAAATAAAAATTAGCAATAAAATACCCTTTTAACAACTAAAAAATTAGTAACTCAAAACAAAAATCATGAGTTTCTACCAACCATAATTTCTTAAAATAGCGACTAAAAGTTAGTTAATAAATTAATTAGTGACTAATTGTTAGTCGCTACAAAATCAAAAATAAAAAATTTCATTGACTAACTAATAGTCGCTAAATTATAAATTTTAGCGACTAAAAGGTTAGTCATTATATGTCTAATAATTGATTTAACAACAACTAATAATTAGTTGCCAATTAGCTTTCACATAGTCAAAAAAAATAATTTGGTCTCTTTGCAACACAAATTTTTGGTGCCCGTGAAATTTTCTTGCGACCAACTAAAAAACTTTTGCAACTAAAATTTTAGTCGTTGAATGCATGAATATTTAGTGACTACAAAATTTTAGTCGTAAAAAATTTTTTATGACCGACTTTTAGCGACCAAATAGCGACTATATTTTTTTCTAGTTAGCAAGGATAAGGAAGCAAAAGTAGAGTCCTTTAATAATATGTCTGTCATTACGTGCGACTATCTCTACTATAGAAAGAAAAAAAGGAAAGAACTTAATTTTCAGCACATTTTTACGAAAAAATTAGGAACAAGAGTTACGGAAAGTTTTATGCGGCTAAATTTGGACTTTCTATGACTAAAAAATTAGTTGTTAAAAGTCAAATTTCTTGCAGTGGAAGTAAGGAATGGAACAAAGAAGTAATGCATGGAATAAAGAAATATAATGTGAGGGAGTGAACGTGGAAAGCAAAATGTTCGTCTATTATAGTGCGAAGGAAAGAATGTGGAAGAAAAAGGAAGCAACAAAATAATTGAAGGAATAATAGAAAATTTGTAGTGGAATTAATAATAATATAGAGGTGTCTTGAATAGTGGTGCGGTAGTGCATGAAAAGTAAGGAAATGAGTGAAAGTTGTAATGGAATAATACATACGATTAACTATAAAAATTCTCCATAAACTATACTCCTTATAATACTTTACTCTCAGATGTTCAAAACGTAACATTCGTTCATCTTAAACTGAACTATTTATAACACTTTACCACTCCTTGATTTTTAAAACGTAACATTCACTCCTATTGAATTATACTCTTTGTAACACTTTATCAGGGAGAATGAATGTTATATTTTATAAATCAGAGAGTAAAGTGTTATTAAAAGTATAATTCAGAAAAAAATGAATGTTATGTTTTAAAAATTAGTGACAATAATTTTGTGTTTAGAGTGATGAGAGATAATATAAAGTTTGTAGTAGAATGAACATAATATAAGAGGGGTATTTAGTAAATATCAAACTTGGCATGACGTTTCAAATAACCTCGAATTTGTACTGAACACAGAGTAAGTAGTACATTGACACACGGAATAGTACATAAATTGTCCGTTCATTTCACCGATTTGAGTTTTACTACAGTAAAAAGCTCTCAGAAACAGTCACATCTAACTTTTTTACTACAGTAAAAAGCTTTTACATAAAGTCATATCTCAACTCGAATTAAAAACTCGTATCAGCGAATTAAACGGACCCTAAATTCTAAAATTTCGCAATGTGACACGTGCCTCCACTGAAATTAATTTTTAATTAGTCTTTAAAAGATGTCTCGTAGATAACTAAACAAAAAAAAAAGGATTCTTTATTCCTTAAAGTATTCAAAGTTAGCCAAAGTCTCCATCATAAGATCAGAGAAGTAATTCCGTACCATTTCTGTTGCGTCGTAATACCGCTTTCATTATTTCTTATATTATATTCAGATTGTTATATAAAGGACAAAGCAGGCACCCTTGTTGAGGCATACAATTATCTCTTTCACGTCAAAGCGCACAAGTAATCTTCCAAATATGACGTACGTTCTCTTATCATATCATTACTTTTTAATTTTTTTGTCTGATATATTTTTTATAGTTTATGTGCGTTTCTTGTTATTCAATATGTAGCTTCTTCTCCTTTTCTTTTTTTTTTTAAGATTAATTATAAAAATTCTCTCTAAATTATATTTTTTATTATATTTTATCTCTTAATTTTTAAAACGTAATATTTATTTTTTTGAATTATACTAATTGTATCATTTTATTCTCTGATATTTAAAACATAACATTTTTTTTCTTAAATTATACTCTTTATAATACTTTACCTCTCGATCTATAAAATATAGTATTCATTCTTCCTAGTTAAGTGTTATAAGGGTATAATTTATGGAGAATAAATGTTACATTTTAAAGATCGGAGGAAAAGTGTTATAAAAAATATAGTTTAAGAAGAACGAATTTTACGTTTTAAACATCAGAAGGCAAAATGTTTTAAAGTGTATAATTCAAGAAAATTTTTGTAATTAATCCTTTCCTTTAATGTCCACTTTATCGGTGTTTTTTTTTTTTTTTCCTAATCTCATTTCGTTACAAGTTTGAGTATGTGTGTATTTGCTTATATAAAACATATTCGCAACGGAATGCGTCGTGCAAATTTTGTCTAAAAAGTACGTTCCTCGCCTTTCTAGTGTTCTTTTTTTTTTTTTAAATTATTGTTTTTTAACAGTAAATGTTTTGGCTTTGTGCTGCTGCATGTACTTTTGAAAATTCTTGCACTCTCTATTTAACTAACCAATATATATTTTTGTGTCATATTATATATATATATATATTTTAATCTCCGAGAACATAAGTCCACATAATTTTTTGTTTCAATCTTCTAGGCTTGACAGAAATATAATATATTTGCCCAATGGGTGTTAATGCAACTTTTTTGGGGAAAGAATCAAAGTTTATTTTTGCCAAGATGTCATTTTCTTTAAAGAATTAATACCATATACTAAATTTTGGTATTTAAGTTATTGATATAGTTAAAAGACTTATGGCATGATATGAAAAAAAAAAAAAAAAAAAAAAAAAAAAAGAACCTGTGCACGTTCTTTCAGTTTTGCCTTTTTCTTTTATTGTGATGTGATTTTGATTAGGGAGAAGAACAGAGTTGCAGATAAGCTTGTTTCTCACGCCGTTTCTCTTGATTCAAATCTTTAGTTCTTCACGATTCCTAATTTTTGTGTGTTCTTTAATGATTATAACAAGCTTAGGTGCTCTTTTTTCCTTTGGGTTTTACTAGAAAAGTTTCTACTGAGGCCTATTATAATATATAGCTGATTTTCAAAGGAAGATTCTTGGCTTGGCCTTTTGGCCTCAGCTTACTGCTTGAGATATTTTTCTTTTTTAACTGTCATGCTGCATTTCTTCTCTTTTTGGAACTTGTGATGTGTTTTTTTTTTCTTTTTTTTTTTTTTTCATTAACAAGAATTTTGAAGTAGGTGTTTACCAGGGAATATGATTTTTAAGAGGTATCAGTCTAGTTGGGATATGTTTTAATTTTTCTTAATACTAATTTCTCCTTCTCACCATTTATTAAAAAAAAAAAAAAAGGATTTTGATCAGATTTAACGCATGTAGTACTAATAGATGCCCAAACTTATAAGAAAGATCCAACAATAACAAATTGGTAATGAAATGTGCAGGGTAATTATAAGTACAAACGTTGTTTATGAAGTACTTAACAAGTATAACTACGAGAATTGGAGTGGAGTGGTTAAAACCTACTTGATTGCTCACGATCTCTGGGATGTCATAGAACCTGCAGTTGAAGCTGCTCAAAAGCCTCAAATAAAAGATCATAATACTATAGAAGACGAAACATCAGAATTCGAAATATCAGCGGAACGCAAAATACTAAAATCAGAAGGTTATAATTTGAAGGAGGACAAGATCAAGAATGCTAGAGCTCTTCATGCAATTCAGATTTCATGTGGGCCAGATGCCCTTTCTGCTATTAAGGGGATCTTCTCAGCGAAAGATGCTTGGCGTATTTTAGATGAAACGTTTAAGCCAGATTTCTTCATAAAATTCACAGATAGCAGTGATAGCAGTGAAGGTACGTATTAATAATTTATAGCATTCTCTCTATATATCCCATGAACGCAAATTCTATGCAGCAAATTTTACTTGTAATTTTAAAAACAAAAACTTGAATTTGTGACAAAAAATTTAATTTGGCAAATCGGCCATTAAACTTCAGAGGATTGCCACCACAAAATGTATATTAAGGTAGCTAGCTAGCAAGATTAACCGAATAACGAGATCTGTTTTTAAGGCAAATCAGATTTGTCGAATATATCTTTAGATTGCTTTTACAGCTCCATGTTTTACATTTTTCATTCCTTGGAATTGTTTTGTTTTTTTTTTTTTTTTAGAATTCTTGTAATTGTGTCCAATCTTATGTATAGTTTTAATCTTCCTGTATATTATATATGTATATATAGAATTCTTGGAAACAATGAAGCACAAAGTCATACCTGCTTTGGCATGGCCATTTCGACCACCAATACTGGTCAAAATTACATGCCATGCTTTTGTCCCATTACTGTCAACGATAGTAGCTTCCATTTCCTACCGCATAGGGTAAAGTTTAAAGGAAGTTGGGACAAAACATCTGTAACTGGTCTTGCACAATGTCACTGGTAAGCTCAATTATTGTTCAACAAATGCTATAGATGCTTACACACATACACATACCTATGTAAACTATGTATGCTTACCAATGAATTTGCAATAAATCAATGTAATCGGTCGTGTGTGACGCTTAAGGCTCTTCTCCAGATACTTTTGTTGCCACAATAACCTATCCACGAAATAATACATCATTAATCTCAAATGTTCATTAGCCTTTTAAGTTCTAATTTTATCAATAAGGTTCCAAAGAAGAATCAAAATTTCCACCTAAATTTTGGTAGCAAACTTTTTGGTAGCCAAAGTTCTAATTTTAGAGATAATCACCACGCTGTAGGGTACTCATGAAATATAAACCACGCCAATTGACATTCATTGCATCTGGACTTATGTCTGTTGGACTTAATTTGCATATCATCGGTATACTAGAAGAGAGTTTCGATGGGCTTGACGACAAGGACAAGGACGGGGGCAAGGAGTTCAAGCGAGCTTTAGAAGAACAAGACTGGGATAAAGTAAAGAAGATGTACACCAAAAATCCTGGCCTGTTGAAAGGAAGATTTTCGTCTAAAAAATTTTCAGCCCTTCACTATGCTGCACAGCACAGTGGAAGTGCAGGCATTGTGAAGGACATGGTGGAAAAAATGAGTAAGGAAGACATGGAAATCAAAGATGCATGTGGTGGCGGCACAGCACTTATGATGGCCATAATGGCAGGATCTGTGGAAATGGTAAAATGCATGATGGAAAAAAATCCTGAATTAATTACCGTTGAAGATAACAGTTTATTCCTTCCGGTCGAAGTATCCCTTTCTTGTGATGATATCGACATGATTTGCCACCTGTATTATGCTACTAAAGCATATCTATCATCTCGTGATCACACCGACCGTAGAAAACACGGGGCCACGTTTATTTCAAAATGCATAAAAAAGAAAAATCTCGGTAAGATAAGTAGTACTAGCAGCTTTAATTTCTGTTCGATATTTGTATTTATATTATAGTCTTTTACTTAACTCGTGTAGATTGTTAAACATTGAATTTATTAATTAAACGCCACAGGGACATTAGGTTTTGCTTTGGATTTACTGAAAGAAGATGAAAGTTTAGCTCTTACTAAAGACAACACTTGGGAATCTCCCTTGTACGTGCTCGCATGTTCACCTTCTCTATTTGGTGATGGAGATGACCTTGCAATTTTCAAGCGATGGATATATAAATGTAAGTCTCTTTGTAGATGGCTCTTTTTTTCTTTCCTTTTTTCTTGTGTTCTCTCTTTTCAATACACACTACTACTTATATATAATATTACATGCACTTATAACAGACAAACAAACACACATATATCTGCTATAATAATCTCTATACCTTCTGATTTGTTTTTTAATGAAACATTGTCATTAAACATAGATGACTTGTTACGCCAATCTTTTCTTACTTCATCGTTAAGCAAAACAAGCTCTTCATTTAATTCTTTTCCCTCAAATAACCTAGAACGCTCTTTAGGTTCAATTTAAAGGAAGCATTAAGATGAGAGAGATAGGTTGACCTAAATAACAATCATAAAAGTTTGGATCATTCAACCTAGGTTATGTTCTTGACCATAATCAATGATCACAATTGCTACTAATGATTAAAAAATCAAGACAATTACGGATCAAGACTCCTGATCTAGTAATAGAAAATTCTCAAGTCTTAAATGGTTTTGCACTTAAATAAAACAATAAAATAATCATTAAGATGTATTATATATGGAATAACATAAACAATTTCAATAGAAAAATAAAATCAAAACATTTAATCACAATTCCAGGGTTTTAAAATCACCCTCAATCAAAATAAAATTAAGCTGACATAATAGAAAAGAAAATAAAACTAACGAAAGTAAATTCTAAAGAAAAGAGAGAAGGGAAGAAACAATTAGAAAAATCTTCAAGAAACTCCTTTTTTCTTCTTCTTCTTCATCTCTTGACGGTTGGAAATTATGTGGAAGTGTCTTCTAATCAGCCCTGAAATCCTTTTTTTTTTTTAATGAAACCTTGTCATTAAACATAGATGACTATTATTAGGCAATACAAGCTATGTCAAATACATACACTGTAATTTCTTTGGTACTTAAAACAACCTAAATCTATAAAAGGAATTCTCGTTTTTTTTTTTTTTTTTTTTTTTTTTTTTTTTTTACAAAAGTAAGGGAGAATGCCACCACTTTCAAGTGGGGCTCAAAGTGACTTGAATCCTCAAACTATAAAGAGGAGCTTACAACCAATTCGGTTGCCCTCACTCGTCAGAATTTAGATAATATATTTTTGAGTTTATAATATATAAGTATGCATATAATGCATTATTCTAAAAGAGCTAAAGTTAGTACATATTTGAATCATTGAAAATCTTCTATCAGACACTAATTTGCATGACAAGCACTCATGTTTTAAAAGTTATATGTATATAATGTTTTAACTCACGTTAATCTTCATTTATTATAGTAGTTTCTTTTGGGAAATATATACGATTTTGGAAGAACGGAAGGGAAGATCATAAATGTGCTGCACGATTGATGATTCTATATGATATAACTAATAGTCTTTACTATTTAGACTAATTATCGTCACGGAAGTTGATGATCGTTTTGTTGATATATAGTTATAAGCACAAAACCAGCTGCTCCTGCTGCTGAAATTGGTGGCGAACAGGTAGAAGATCCAGAAAGTGGGAGCGACTCCACCAACATGACAAAGTCGGGTAGTTTTTTAATTACCTTTAATTAATTAATTAGCAAGCATGCATAATATATACTGACACGTACTATGCTGCATCATATACTTCATGACAACTTGTGATAAATATTGGAGCTAATAATTATCGCGTACTCATCTAGTAGCACTCTTCATATTTCTTATGTTGTATCAACGGAAAAAAAATATTAATCATTTTGATATGATTACATATATATATATATAAATGTGTATATATACACATTATAAATTATATACATATAGATAGGGAGCAACTATAATATCCCTCGTTTCAAAGCATACATTCAATGTTACTTTTAAGTGAATGCTTTTGTATTCTCACAGTAGTACCTTAATACCTTATAATTTTCTTTTTTTTTTTTTTTCGAGACTAACCTTGTAATTTACTTATACCAATCGAACTGCAGGGTTGGATTCATTCAGCTCACTAGTAACAAAACTTCTAGGTATATCAAACAGTTTTAACAAATATAATTCACCTTATATCCTATCATTGCATTAAAATGTCATTTTACGTACTTTTATAACAAACCTGTTCCTGATCGATCGTTTGTTACTCTAAAGGAATTGAACAGATACGAGAAGAGAAATTGGTTCATGAACGTTCCTTGGAGCTACTGTTTGAAATGTGCAAAGCGGTTAACATTAAATTAGCCGCTGCAGTGGATAGGAAAGACTTGAAAGATGGTTTAGTGTTGGAGGCGCTATTCGCTGCTGTGGAACGAGGAAACACTAAATTTGTCTCTAAACTGATTTCCAAGGTTCCAGCCCTTTGGATGAGCACTGATGAGTATTCAAGGGACATTTACATGCACGCCATTGAATGGCGTCAAGCAAAACTGTTTACCCACATGCTTCGACATATAAGCGGTAATCTTATATCAGCAACCAGTTGTATGAAAGATAAGTTTGGTAATAACTTGCTACATGTAGCTGCAACGTTATGTCCGTCCACCAAACTCGATCGTGTTCCTGGAGCAGCTTTGCAGATGCAAAGAGAAATACAATGGTTTAAGGTAAACACTTTAGTCTTTATTTCTCAATACAACGCACTTTCCAAAGTTAATTAATTAAGCAATATGTGACTACGAATTAGGAGGCATGAAAACTGGAAGTCAATCTTATTTCTTAAAACTATATAATCATGGTGAAGAAATCAAAAAAGGAAAGATTAGGAAATTAAACATTTATTATGTTTTCGCCATATGAAAGCTGAGAATAATCACTTGTACCAGATTAGACGGTTATAAAAATTAGCAATTAGAAATAGACTTTGATATACTAAGTATTATTCTTGTGTCTACTATATAATAGTTGTACTAAATAAAAGAAATAAATTTACATACCCACCCAAATATAATGCTATTAATCAAACCAGTATTTGAGCAACAAAATTCTTGGTTCATGAAATATATATTTTGCCTTATTGCACACACATATATATATATATATATATATATTGATTACAATCAAACAATCTCAGGAGGTGCAGAAAATTGTATATCCTGCTGCTTTAGAAGAAGAAAATTCCTTGGATAGTTTGACACCACGTGAAGTATTTACTAAGAACCACAAAGATTTGATGAAGAAAGGAGAAAGATGGACGAAGGAGACGACAACTTTTTCCAGCGTAGTATCTGCTCTCATTGTTACCATGACTTTTGCTGCCGTATTCACAGTTCCTGATCTGGAAGAAAACACAAACAGGAAGTTACGCACGGTTTTCATAATTTCCGATGGAATATCACTCTTTTCTTCCGCATCTTCACTGTTTGTGTTCTTAGGGTTATTCTTGAGCACGCGGTATGAAGAACATGACTTCCTCATAAACTTGCCGTTGAAATTGATGGTTGGAATTTCCTCACTTTTCATCTCCATTATAACCATGCTTATAGCCTTTTGTGCGATCCTTCTCCTTCTGCTCCCTGAATCATGGGTTCCAATCATTTTGCTCGCAGCCCTTACAGTCACATTATTTGCGGCCATGCCATTCAGTCTCTTGATTATAATATTTAAGTCTACTTTCTGTAAAAGACTTTCTTTAACTCTTAAGAGTACGTAGAAGACCACCAATGCAAAAAAGGACGACTAGGTTGGTCTTCATTAGATATTGATGTGTGTGTGTTTTGTGCGCGTATTACTAACTAGGCTTGCTAAATGAATAAATGTCGTACTGGCTGTGTATCCTTTTCATATATTGTTTTTATACATTGTTTTGCAGATCATGCTAGTTCAGTGAAGGCATGTTTGTCATTTTGTAGCGTGTTGTATCGTGCTATATGTTATTGTTATACAACAAGTAATTGTTTGGTTTCGTAGTATGTTTTATTGTGTTATATGTTATTGTTATACAATAAGTAATTGTTTGGTTTTGTATTGTCTTATCTGTTGTTTCAATTATACAATATTAAGTTACCACATCATGTTACCATGTCTTGTTATATTAAATATTGTTATACGATAAGAAAAATAAAATCAAAACATTCAATCACAATTTCACGTCTAGGGTTTTGAAATCACCATCAATCAAAATAAAATTAAGCTAACATAATAGAAAACAAATAAAACAAAAGAAAATAAAATCTAAATAAAAGAGAGAAGGGAAGAAAGAATTAGAAAAATCTTCAAGAAACAACTTTTTTTCCTTCTTCTTTTTCATCTCTTGACGGCTGGAAATTATGTGGAAGTGTCTTCTAATCAGCCCCTTAAGTCCTTTTTTTTTTTTAATAAAACCTTGTCATTAAACATAGATGACTATTATTAGGCAACACAAGCTATGTCAAATACATACAACTGTAATTTCTTTAGTAATTAAGACAACCTAAATCTATAAAAGGAATTCTCGGATTTTTTTTGGATATAAGGGAGGGAGGAATGCCACCACTTTTAAGTGGAGCTAAAAGTTACTCAAACCCCCAAATTATAGTTGGGGAGGAACTTAATTACAACCAACTAGATTGCCCTCACTCTTCATAATTCTAAGAATTGAGATCATATATTTTTGAGTTTATAATATAAGTATGCATATAATGCATTATTCTTAAAGAGCTAAAGTTGGTACATATTTGAATCATTTGAAAATCGTCTATATATCAGACACTAATTTGCATGACAAGCACTCATGTTTTAAAAGTTATATGTATATAATGTTTTAACTCACGTTAATCTTCATTTATTATAGTAGTTTCTTTTGGGAAATATATACGATTTTGGAAGAACGGGAGGGAAGATCATAAATGTGCTGCACGATTGATGATTCTATATGATATAACTAATAGTCTTTACTATTTGGACAAATTATCGTCACGGAAGTTGATGATCGTTTTGTTGATATATAGTTATAAGCACAAAACCAGCTGCTCCTGCTGCTGAAAGCGGTGTCGAACAGGTAGAAGATCCAAAAAGTGGGAGCGACTCCACCAACATGAAAAAGTCGGGTAGTTTTTTAATTACCTTTAATTAATTAATTAGCAAGCATGCATAATATATACTGACACGTATATATTAATAATGTGCGCTCAGATCATGCAACCTAGGTTATATTCTTGACCATAATCAATGATCACAATTGCTGCTAATGATTAAAAAATTAAGACAATTACGGATTAGGACTCCTAATCTAGTAATAGAAAATTCTCTAGTCCTAAATGGTTGCGCACCTAAATAAAACAACAAAATGATCATGAATAATTATTATGGAAGAATATAAACAATTTCAATAGAAAAATAAAATCAAAACATTCAATCACAATTCCACGTCTAGGGTTTTGAAATCACCATCAATCAAAATAAAATTAAGCTAACATAATAGAAAACAAATAAAACAAAATAAAATAAAATCTAAATAAAAGAGAGAAGGGAAGAAAGAATTAATAAATTAGCAACATGAAATTTTTTTTAATTCCCTTTAATTAATTAATTAGCAAGTGGTCATGAAGTTATAATACGCATGCATAAATATACTGACACATATATATTAATAATGTGCGTGTATAAGTAAATGACGTGAGAGTACATCGACACTAAAACTAGCAGGTACTATGCTGCATCATATACTTTCATGACAACTTGTGATAAATATTAGAGCCAATAATTATCGCGACTCATATAGTAGCACTCTTCATATTTCTTATGTTGTATGAACGGAAAAAAAAATTATTAATCATTCTTGATATGATTACATATATATATATATGTTTATACATTATACATTATATACATATAGATAGGGAGCAACTATAACATCTCTCGTTTCAAAGCATACATGCAATGTTACTTTTAAGTGAATGCTTTTGTATTCTCACAGTAGTACCTTAATACCTTATAATTTACTCCTTTTTTTTTTTTTTTTAGCAGGGTTGGATTCATTCAGCTGGCGAGTAACAAAACTGCTTAACAGACTTCCAGGTATATCAAACAGTTTTAACAAATATGATTCACATTATATCCTATCATTGTATTAAAATGTCATTTTATGTACTTTTCCTGATCAATCGTTTGTTACTCTAAAGGAAGTGAACAGATACGAGAAAAGAAATTGGTTCATGAACGTTCCTTGGAGCTACTGCTTGAGATGTGCAAAGCGGTTAAGAATATAAAAGATAGGAAAGAATTGAAAGATGGTTTAGTGTTGAAGGCGCTATTCGCTGCTGTGGAACGAGGAAACATTAAATTTGTCTCAATACTGATTTACATGGTTCCAGCACTTTGGATGAGCACTGATGAGCGATCAAGGGACATTTTCATGCTCGCCAATGAATGGCGTCAAGCAAAACTGTTTACCCACATGCTTAGACATGTAAGCGGTAATCTTATATCAGCAACCAGTTGTATGAAAGATAAGTTTGGTAATAACTTGCTACATGTAGCTGCAACGTTATGTCCGTCCACCAAACTCGATCGTGTTCCTGGAGCAGCTTTGCAGATGCAAAGAGAAATACAATGGTTTAAGGTAAAGATTAGACGGTTATAAAAACGCAATGTTTTTGCCATATGAAAGCTGGGAATAATCACTTGTCAGATTAGACGGTTATAAAAATTAGTAATTAGAAATAGATTTTGATATAACAAGTATTATTCTTGTGTCTACTATATAATATTTGTACGAAATAAAAGAAATAAATTTACACACCCGCCCAAATATAATGCTATTAATCAAACCAATATTTGAGCAACAAAATTTCTTATTGCACACACACACACACACACACATATATATATATATATATATATAATGATTACAATCAAACAATCTCAGGAGGTGCAGAAAATTGTACATCCTGCTGCTTTAGAAGAAGAAAATTACTTGGATAGTTTGACACCACGTGAAGTATTCACTAAGAACCACAAAGATTTGATGAAGGAAGGAGAAAGATGGATGAAGGAGACGGCAACTTATTCCAGCGTGGTATCTGCTCTCATTGTTACCTTGACTTTTGCTGCCGTATTCACAGTTCATGATCTGGAAGAAAACACAAACAAGAAGTTACGCAGGGTTTTAATAATTTCCGATGGAATTTCACTTTTTTCTTCCACATCTTCAATGTTTGTGTTCTTAGGGATCTTGAGCACGCGCTATGAAGAAGATGACTTCCTCAAAAAATTGCCGTTGAGATTGATGGTTGGAATTTCCACACTTTTCATCTCGATTATAACCATGCTTATAGCCTTTTGTGCGATCTTTCTCCTTCTGCTCCCTGAATCATGGGTTCCAATTCCAATCATTTTGATCGCAGCCCTTACAGTCACATTATTTGCGGCCATGCCATTCAGTCTCTTGATTATAATATTTAAGTCTACTTTCTGTAAAAGACTTTCTTTAACTGATCTTAAGAGTTGGAAGAAGACCATCATTGCAAAAGATGACGACTAGGTTGGTATTCATTAGATATTGATGTGTGTGTGTGTTTTGTGCGCGTATTACTAACTAGGCTTGCTAAATGAATAAATGTCGCACTGGCTGTGTATCCTTTTCATATATTGTTTCTATACATTGTTCTATAAATCATGTTACTTCAGTGAAGACATGATTGTCATTTCGTAGTGTGTTGTATCGTGTTATATGTTATTGTTATATAATAAGTAATTGTTTGGTTTCGTAGTATGTTGTATTGTTTTATATGTTATTGTTATACAATAAGTAATTGTTTGGTTTCGTGGTGTCTTATCTGTTGTTTCAATTATACAATATTAAGTTATCACATCATGTTACCATGTCATGTTATATTAAATATTGTTATACGATAAGTAATTGTTTGGTTTTTTACGTGATATTTTTAAGAATAATTTTTTCTCACTTTACTTCTATGAACATAATTTTTTTTAATGTGTTTCGATTTAAATTGTTGTCAATAACTTAAATAAGTTTCTTTAAAAGTGTCATTCCTTAATTGTTTTCTATGTAATTCTTGTTATATCAAAAGTTATCCTCATATTCTTTTTCTACAATGCTCCCATAAAGCACTTTTCACCTTACCACGTCGTAGCCCTTCCTTCCCTCTTCCCCCGGCTCCCACTTTTTCTTTACATTTTTTAAATGTTTTGTAATTTTATTTTATTTTTTATTTGATGAATGTTTTTTTATAGGTTAACTTTTTTATGCGTGTTTTGCTCTTTTTTAATCTTATTTTTTTTATTTTTTATTTTTATATTTTGTCAAGGACTCTTCTATCCATCCAATTGAACATCTAACATAGATAAAAGTAGTAAGGTAGACTTGGCTCCTAAGAAGCCTCCATCTTCTTTTTTTTCTCCTTCACTTTTTTAACCTTTTGACTTTTTCTCTTTTCTTTATTTATTTATTTATTTATTTATTTTTTCTTCTTTCTTTTCGTTTATTTTCTTTTTTATTTTTCCCCTAATATTTTTTGACAGTTTATTTTTTTTACACTCTCCTTTCTTGAAATACTTTCTTTTTTCTTATTGTCTTTTAATTAAAATAATTCCTTTCAAATATTTCCCTACCCTTTTTTTGGTCAAAAACTCCTATACTTTTAATTCCTTTTTTTCCTTTTTTTTCCTTTTCCTCTTTTTCTCTTTTTCCTTTTTTATTAGCTTTGTTTTTATTTTTCTTCTTTTCTTTTACTTATTGACATTTTTTTTTGTTTTACCCTAACATTCTTTCACCGTTACTTTTTTTTACAGTATCTTTCTTTGAAATACTTTCATTTCCTCGTTTTCTTTTAATTAAAGTAATTCCCTTTAAATGTTTCCATGCTTAAACTCTTTTTTTTTTTGGGTTAAAAACTCCTACATAAATTTAATTATTTTTCGATGTAATTTTTTAAAATATATTTTTTTCTCTTGCTCCAATTAATAGATTTAACATATTTAAATTAGGAAAAATTTTATTTTGATACCCTATGTTATATCAAAATATGGGTTTAGTATCCTGTATTTTTTATGGTTTCAAATGGGTACATTGATGTTTTAGAATCTTCTTTTAATACCCTAAGGCCCTTTTTTTGGACGTAAAAGTCATTTATACCCTTGTATTTGTTATGTCCATTTTTTATAAATTTATTAAAAATATTTTAAAAAACCATAAAAATAGGAAAAAAAAAAAAAAAAAAAAAAAAACGACACGAAGAACTAAGAATACCAGATATACCAAAATCAAAACCAAACAAAAATGTATCTATATGAGTCACCAATTTCACATAACAAAAGTTACAAAACTAAAGAGATCTACTAAGAAGGCATCACAACCACCGTCGCTTTATCTTCTCCTGCTCCTTATATTGGGCAATGCTTGTACCATTGCATTAGATCTTCAGTTTGTGTTATTTTCAGCGTTTTCTGAACGTCTCCTGGGTTTTTGATAGTGTTAGTGCATGTTTACTTGAACGTATTAAAGCATCTTATTGTATTGTGTGATAATACATTAATACAATGTTTTATGTGACCATTGTATTATATAAATGAATACGGATGATAAATTAATATAGTCTATGTCGTTTAAATTAAATATGGTTCATTTTTAGCGTATTGTATTATTTTATAGCCGATTCATGATTCACACTAGGATTGAGCACAATTGAGGGTTAGGGTCGGACTGATAGAGTCATGTCAGAGCCTGTAATTGTTTAAAAATTACTAAGGGACAATGCAAATTTATATATTTTTAAAATTACATTTTGACCCCAAAATTTTTGTAAAATTACATTTTGACCTCAAAAACTTTAAAATTTTACTAAAATAATCATGACACCAAACACTATATTGTATTATCATCACAATACAATACACCTTATACAATACCGTATGAATTACCAAACATCACATTAATGTTTCTGAGATTTTTTTTTTTTTTTTTTTTTTTTCTGTTCATCAACAGAAAAGCCTTTTTTCTGTCTAGAAAATAATGGAGAGTCAATATGTCTCTTCGTTGAAAAGAACATGGAGGTATGGCGAAATGGCCGAGATATTGTTTCAGTCGTCACTTTCTCAGATTGACGATTCAATTGTTGTTCATCTATATTTCTTTTTCTTCTTTTTTTTAGCCAAAAAAAAAGGCATCAAACCAAGCAGATAAAAGAAACTAAAAGTTAACTGGGGGTGTTCAAATTTTTCTTTTTCCAAACAAATCTAGCAAACAAATGAAAGCAGACAGATGAATAAGGTTCGAAGTTATTTCCCCCTCATATCAAACTAAGGAAATCATTAAGATGATGTTTGGTTTATGGGTTTAAAATCATAGTTTATGATTTTAATTTTTAAAATTTAAATATTTTATAAGAAAAAAACACTATAACAGAATTAAGAATCACGATCTTAAATCAGACATAACCTTGAAACCAACGTAACCTCAGGTTTCGCTTATGTTAAATTTTTGGTTGTTTTTTAAGTAATAAAAACTCAAAAATCGTCAACACCAATATCTTTCGCACGGATTCGATCATGGAAAAGCAGCGGTCCATGGCGAAAGCATCATGGATGGACGAAGGTGTCGAGGGTTGTGTATTGCCGGGTTTCGTAATAATCGCGCAGATAAGGTTGCCAAGGAGGACGTAGTAGTCATGGCTGGGGCTTGCCGACCAAGAGAGAGAAATTATCGAGAGAGAGAGAGACTCTGAGTTTTTATTTTTTTTCTTATTTTATGTTTTTTAAAATTCTTTTAATGAATTTATAAAAAAAATCTGGACAAATCAAATGCAAGGATATAAATGACTTTTTGCATCTTAAAAAAGAGTATTAAGATATTAAAAAAAAATTCAAAATGTTGAAATACCCGCATAAAATTATAAAAACATAAAGTACTAAATTCGTATTTTAACATAATACAAAATACTAAAATGAAAATTTCCCTTTAAATTATACTCCATGACGTGCTAATACAACAAATCTAACGCGCCCAAAAGTTATGCTACAACAAACTTTGACTGGTCAAATTCTACCATTCTTAATAACATTCAAGTTAATTTTGTCTAGTGGAACAAAAATAAAAGGAAAGGAAAAAAAAAACTTAGAAAAGATCATAAGATCATATCCCGCTGGTACACCACAAACAAAACTGAGAAAAGAGTTTAGAAATTAGAATATACTCGCAAAATATAACAAATTAAAAAAGACATTCAACCCTATGAGATCCATTAATAGGTTAAAGCAACTAGAAAAAAAAAAAAGAAGGAAAATCGTTAAAGCAACTGGAAACTAATTTTGGAGCGTAGTTGTGCATTAATTCAACCTCAAAGAAGACATTTTTTTATATTTATTTTATGTTTTATGTACTTAAACATTCAAATGTTTAGTTATGTTTCCAAACTTATTTAGATGTACTTGGTTATATTTCAAACTTCGTTAGATGTTTGGTAATTGGTCGTGTTTTGAAACACACACACACACACATATATATATATGGACATTTTTTTATATTTATTTTATGTTTTATGTACTTAAACATTCAAATGTTTAGTTATGTTTCCAAACTTATTTAGATGTACTTGGTTATATTTCAAACTTCGTTAGATGTTTGGTAATTGGTCGTGTTTTGAAACACACACACACACACATATATATATATGATAATCTAGTAGTATATATATATATATATAA